CAAGCTGTAGCTCCCTGCCACTGTTGTTCATTAAGATTTGGTGGAAATGTACCCTCATTTCTTCATACCTTCTTATTTTCACGTGCTTGGATTTTTTTTTCCTGTGCTACTGTGATGGCTTTGCTAAAACAATACTCCCAGCAAAGGAAAATCGTGGGTTGAATTGGAATTGCAAGAGGCAGTCGGTTAATCCACAGATTATTGACACGGTGGACCCTAAATGCTTCAAAGGCACCATTATAGTCCATCGTGTCCGTGCAGATTTAGGGAGCTTTAATCCACGGATTACAGGTCCATAAATGCTCCTGCCCTCCCAGTTACAGCTGGTCCTGCCAACGGGAGCTGCCATGTCAAGCTGGCTGTGGCACTTCACAAAAATATTTGCCTTTAAAATCCACAGAGGCAGCGATACACCCCTGCGTCCCTGTCAGGGCTGCATTCCTTGTCCCGAGCTCCAGGAGAGGTCCCACAGCCCTGCCTGGCCCATGATTTCCCCCAGGCACGAGGCAGGACCAGACAACAAGTTTTCAAAAGTGCTGCTTTAAAAAAAAAAAAACAAACCACAAAAAAAGCCCAAATGAAAAGCGTACCAAACGTTTTCCAGATCCTTCAGGGAACAGTGAGCATTAAATGGCAGCCCTTCACTTTTCCCTTCTGGTCTCCCCCTAAGCAAACAAATGGCGCACCTCCCAGTAAATACTTTGGTTGCAAAGGCATTATTTTTTCTTTTTTGCACTTTTAAAAATAACTAATTGTATTACAATCGAAACTGGTAGGTGCTTTTCAACCCCTCTGTTTCTCAGGTGATAATTGTGTGTGCTGAGGCGCGTGTATTTGTGTTATATATCGCTGGAAATGAAGTGTATAATGGAAAAGCTCACTGCCTCTTTACTTGCAGCATTCCTATAATAAGTCAAAGAAGTCACACAGTGCCCTTTTATTTCCAAAGCTGGACTTAAATGGTGTCAATAAATCTGCAGGCTTATTATGAGATGCAGCATGGGTAATGTAAACAGCAAAAAAACCCAGCACCCCAGCACGCCAGAGTTTAAAAATAGGATGTAAGGAGGAAAAAAGTCAACCATCCGTATAATAAAAAAGAGAAGAAATGCAACACAAAAGCACTGTGTCAGGCAGTGCCTTGAAATTATCCTCACTAAATTACAGCCATGCACTTTCCACTCTCTGTAATTAAACATGAGGGTTTGGTTATTCCAGACGAATTTGCTTCAGGTAAACCCAGATCTTTTTTGTTTTGCTGTTGTAAATCCTTTACAGGTCTCTGTGAACTACAGACAGTGGAGGGGTAAAGCAAATGATTTCCACAGATCAAGGCAGTTGAAGATGACTGTCAATAAAACTGGCCTTGCACGTGGTGAATCCAGTACTCTTGCTCCCTTTTTATGGAGCGTGGGTATATTCAGGGACAGTCGTGCTTGGGGCAGTCAGAAAATACTGTAGTCTTGAGCAGTGAAATCAAAAATGGGGTGATTTAATCTTCCCCCGAGACCTCCTGTTTCTGGCTTTGGTTGAGGATGTGCCTACCCCAGTGATCCTGCAGCCTGTGGGAAAAGCCTGTGAGGTGCTGCCACGGCTCTGGCTAATTTGTCCCTCCACTCAGAACCTGAGCCAGCTGCAAATCCCGTTATCCCCTCCTCTTCTGCTTATAATTGCAGTTTACCTAGAGATTTGCAGGCCTTTTGTGCAGATGAAGTTTGTTATGCAGAGGTCTTAAAGGCAGGACAGAGGGCTGTGGAGGGCTTGTGGAGGTGGGATTTTGGAAAAGTCGGGTAAGGCTCACTGCCTGAGTGAAAATTTTTAACAAATAGGAATTCATTGTAATCATCATAAACCCTGTGATCTGATTTAGCAATAACTTTCATGTGTATGTGCCTCTAACTGGAATTTATAAAATGTCCAGGCTGATTCTTTGTGGGAGAAGGAAAAAAAACACAAGCCTCTGCCAAGGTGGTAAATTCTGAAGTGTTTAAAATAACTCACATCCCAATGTACAGCATGTATTTTTCATCATCTGTTGATCTACTTAGGTAAATACATCCAGGTTTATTAAGCAAACCTCTCCTGAGGTGTGGCTGTTGCTGCCGGAGTGTTTGTGTAGCCCAGGAGCTGCTCACCTGGAGACAGGACTGCCGCATTCCAGGTGAAAATCCAAGGAAACCCTGGCCACCTGCCCTGGGTTCCGTGTCCCAGTGGCCTACAGGCAACACCAGGTTGCCTTGTCTGCTGGGAGAGGAGATGGGGACCCCCTGGATGCTCCCTGCTCACAGTCTGGCTCCCCAGAGTGGGTCAATCCACGGGACTTTTCCCTCTGGAGTTAAAGCTCAGTTTAGAGAGAGAGAGTTTGGGAAAAAAGCGAGAGGTAAAGATGGGCCATTAGAGGGCACTTTTGCAATCCTGGAGAAGGAAAACGGTGCTTATTATTTCACTTAGGACTGTTTATTTTGGCACTCTCTTAAATTCAGTGATAAACAGCAGGCAAATCCCTCCAGTCAGCAGGAATATATCAATAAAATATTGACTCGGAGTTTAAAAGAAAAGAAAACAAGATGAACTTGTAGAAAAGGGAATAAAAGGTATTTAAGGAGGTGGCACAGTCTAGAGAGCAAAAAAAATCACACAACATATTTCACATAATTTGTATGGCTTAGCAGTGCAGTGCTTGGGCCTCAGCTTGTACCTGGCTTCTAAAAACAAATCCAAGGCAAGAAAATCATTTGATGGAAGTTTCTGAGGGCTTGGGGCGTAGAGCAGGAATTCACAGGCTCACGTCTAGCAAGTGCATTTTCTGAGGTATTTCCAGGTATTTCGGTATGGGATGGACAGGGATCACAGAACTAACCTTGATGTGTCTCCTTGCAGTTACTTTTAAGCCAAAATGCTGTTACAATTAGATAAAGGAATTAGAGGCAAATTTGTACCTCACAGCTGCTCTGTGGTTGGTAATGGGGACAGAAACACTGTTTATGGGAGTTTTTTAAGCACATTAACTGGTGAAATTATTTAAGAAGTGAAGCTTAGCCTATAATCAGAATGGTTTATTTTAACAAAGGTTACATTGCAGTGGGACTGACTATGGGAATACACAAGGCTGCAATTTCAGGGGGTTCACGTGGAGGACGCTGTCTGCAGAAAGCTCAGAGTTTCTTACCTAACCAAATAATCTGCTCTAACTGTTGTGATTAAGTTGGAAAGAATTTCTTCCCTGTTGGCCAACGATAACACTCGAAAAATCAATAAACAGCATGTTAGAGCACACGAAACTCATCCTGCTTTGTGTGAGAGGAGGTTTCTGCTGACTCCGGTGACTCGAGTCAGCAAGTATTTTGGATCTTTGCTCCAAAAGGTCAAATGCCATTGAGTTTTCTGATAAGTATCAACACTTCAGTCTGAATTCGAGGAAATATGTCTGTTGCCATCAAAAGCTGGTTGGGATAAAATCTGACAAATGCTGGGAAAGCTAAATCTGGATTTAAGTATAAGTAGCTCACCCCTCGGGGGCTTGCAGGGGGCTCTCCCTGCCCACCTGGGGCATGATGCTGGGAGAAGCTTTTGCTTTTATCTTTCCATGGTGTTCCACTCAGGGAGGGGAGGATCTGGCTGCAGATACAGGAATATGTGTCAGACCACGGAGGGAGAAGGCTGAGGAGGGCATGAGTGAAAAGAGAGGAAGATAAAATTGCATCCTGTGAGGGAATGTTTAGGATGCGTCATTCGTGGCTTACAGATGCTTTGGAATTTGCTCCATGTTTTCTCTTCCCTCTTGCATCACCAGTTTCAATGGGAAAATAGATGGAGGGCAGGGACTGAGCTGGACAGCAGGAGCTGGAAAAAACAGTAGAAAGCAGGGCAAGAATCATCTGAGATAACAGGGCCAGAGACAGTGGAGGGCAGGAGAGGGGAGTGTGTAGGAGGGGTGAGCTGAGGGGACCTGTGCATTGGTGGAAGAAACAAGGAGCTTTATGTTTGCTATTTTTGCATAAAATATTAGAGAAGGGTCAAGTGTGTGTGTGTGGAAACCCCAATCTCAGGAGTAGATTTGATCTTAAAGTTAAAAAGAAAGGGTTTGTTATAAAGTCACAGTTACCTTACAGGAGCAGTGTTTGACTGCACATTCAGCCAAGGGACAAGATAAAACTGTTCCTCCCAGCTCAGCTTTTTACCATGTTTCTCCCCAAAGCCAGTGCTAACACAGCTGAGGTAAAGACCTAAACCTCCTTTGTTTTTCCCCCCCTAATTTGAAAAAAATGTTATCATTTAGCAATTTAAACTTGATATACTTGTACCAAAAATGGACTGTTTCCCCCCCTACTCCCCCCATACCAGAACCATTATATACGAGATCATCTACTGTACTGAAAGGAGATTTCCAGCCTGTCCCACTGTATGTGTTCGGGTAGTCATTACTGACCTACTTGTAGACATAATAATGAAAGGCTGAGATTATGAATTATTGTGCCTAATTTGTAAAGGATTCTCTGCTTTTGTGTTTTGCAATTCCCATCAGGCTTGAGGATTAAACCCTGCTGAATTGCATGCTAATACCAATGTGCTTTGAATATGTGTGGGTTTATATCACATGTTTTCCTAATTCACTATTTTTGTAAAGAACAACTTCCCTGGAAGTATTTACTCTCCAAAGGATTGTTGGAAGCCCAAACGAAATCTCCTGAGGAGAGCGAGGCCGATGTCCCCTCCATCTGCTCTGTGCTGGCTTTAGCTCCCAAGTCCAGCGAGTTCTGTCTCTGCTGTGGCAAAACATCAAGCTATGGCTCTACCCAAGTATGTGGAAGGCTTTTGGTAGTGACAGGGAGAGATAAACATTTGAAAGCAGTGCATGGGCTTGCTTTCAGTTGCAGTTCAAGGTGGAAGGTGCCTGCAAAAGCGCTTATGATGTTGTTACAGGAACGCCCACGTTTCAGCAGGGAATGAGCTGCACGTGGTGCCCCCTCCTGAGGTGGGATTCCCTGTCTTTGCTGTAGGATGCTCCTGCTGCACTGCCCGCTGCTGTTGCTGCTGCTGCCACTGGGCTCCAGGCCCCAGAAGTTCCCGACCAGGGATGAGGAGCTGTTCCAAATGCAGATCCGGGACAAAGCGTTTTTTCACGATACGTCCGTCATCCCGGATGGAGCGGAAATCAGCAGCTACCTGTTCCGAGACACCCCTAAAAGGTACCTCTGCCTGGCTCAAGGGAGGAGGTCGTGCTTTGGAGATAGTAGCTCTGTTTGCTGAAATAAAAGTTGGACCCAAGCCAGAGAAATACAAATGCCAGTGTTCTGTTTGGTGAAGTAACTAACTATGCAAGTTTCCATCCCAATCTGGCCTCCCCAGCTGAGGGCCTGTCCAATTTATTTGATTTCTGGGATAAGCCCAGAGCTCCCACAGACCGCAGAATTTCCCTGAAGTGGGGCCACTAACCATGTCTGGAGGCAAAGGGAGAGGGAAGGAAATTAGAAACTACAGGCTTAGCCGACCACGCTTGTCTGTCTTCATTATTTCATATTGAACTTTAAAGTAGCAGTGTAAGGCAGTCTGATCTGAACTCCCCACTTCCAGAAAAAACTGGGGTTAGACTGGGGAAGAACCTGAGGCTCCAAAGACTTCAGGGAAGAGCAGCATTGCCATCATATCACATTTCTCCTCCAGCCTTCATCGGTGAGAAATACTTTACAATAGATGATGTTTAGAGTTTGTGGGGATGTGGGAAGGCAGCTGGATGTGTCTGCATCTATATGTACTTCTAGGGCCCTTACCTGGACATAGCATAAATGTGTGTCCTGCTTTGAAGAGCATATCCCTAAATTCCATGGTAGATCCCATTTCCCTCATTTATACCTTTGTGACTATTCACACTGCACACAGTTAGTGTAGGGGTAAAAAATGTGTCCTGACAAGGAAGTGTGAATTGTACCCCGGTGTCTGAGTGGGAGGACTCCCCTCACCTCCTTAGCTCTCGCCCACTGGCCTTCCCACATTCCCTCTGCACACACTTGCCTGTCAGTAACACTTTTGACTCCACTGTCCCACCAGGACCATCCTCGATCATGTCAGGTCAGTCCCTGCCAGTTGGCTGCCATCAGGAGTTACTGACATGTGGTCTGTTAACCTCCCCCTAGGTATTTCTTTGTGGTTGAAGAGGACAACACTCCCTTAGCAGTGACTGTGACACCATGTGATGCCCCCCTGGAGTGGAAACTGAGTGTGCAAGAGCTCCCAGAGGAAGCCAGTGGAGAAGGTTCAGGTAACAAACCACGAACAATTTTCCCTGTGCCACACAGACCTGCTTTTCTCCTGGATTTGAGGTTCCTCAAACACTGAATCTCACAGCAGGCCCAACTTTATGGTCTCCTGCTGTTTGGATCTTCAGCCCCAGTCCTGCTGTTGTGCAGGAAACAGGCAGGAGGCAGCAACATGAAAGGGAAAAGGGCTACAAAAAATAAAAAGAAAAGCTGAGGTCACAGAGGGCACTGGGTTTCCTGGGGGCTTTGCTGTGAGCTGTGTACACAAGGTAAGAACTGGAGAGACAGGGCTGGGGTTGCAGCAGGGCTGAACTCACCCCTTTGAGGGGGTAGACCTGGAGCCATGTAACTGCTGCTCAGGAGAGAAAAGGGCTTCGGCTTCCAGAGCCTCTCAACACGAGTGCTAAGCTGTCATACACACCACATGGGAGGGTACACACACCCTTGGTCCCCACTGTATTTAGCAACAAAATTTTAGCCTGACTTAGAAGGCCAAAGTCAAGGCCCAACATCCAGGAACAGGCAGGTGAGTCAGTTCTCCCTGGGGCATCTCCAGGTGGGGTGCCTGATATTCCCATGGAAGGTATTAGCTACCATTCATGAGACTCTGCTAATACTGGCCAGGTAGAATTTCTGTTGCATTTGGTTTTAACCTGAGTGCCAAACCAATTTTCCCCTCTGATTTGACAGAAGTGTTGATTACATCTTCCTCAGAAGACAAAACCTTCCTTTTCATCTCACATTTGTATTGTATGTAGCAAAATGTAGGTGTCTGTTAAAGTTTCATTTTCTCATATTCACAGGGTGTGTCTGTACAGATGTTTTTCTTTGCTTGTAATGCAGGTGACCCAGAGCCTCTTGAGCAACAGAAACAGCAGATTACCAGTGAGGAAGGCACAGAGCTCTTCTCTTACAAAGGCAACGACGTGGAGTACTTTGTGTCCTCTAGTTCCCCATCTGGGCTGTACCAACTAGATCTGCTGTCCACAGAGAAGGACACCCATTTTAAGGTGTATGCAACCACCACTCCGGAGTCGGACCAGCCTTATCCGGAATTACCTTACGATCCCAGAATCGATGTCACCTCCCTGGGATGTACAACGGTGACCCTGGCATGGAAGCCAAGTCCCACTGCCTCCCTACTGAAACAGCCAATCCAGTACTGCATAGTCATCAACAAAGAGCACAACTTCAAAAGCCTCTGCGCTGTGGAAGCCAAGCTCAGTTCTGACGACGCCTTCATGATGGCTCCCAAACCAGGCCTGGATTTCAGTCCCTTTGACTTTGCCCATTTTGGCTTCCCTGCGGACAACAACTCCGGCAAAGAGCGGGGTTTCCTGAAACCATCCAAGTTTGGGCGGCAAACACCCTCAAAGCCCAGGGTTGACCTGCATAAGGTTTGTATCGGGAACAAAAACATCTTCACCGTGTCTGACCTGAAGCCCGACACGCAGTACTACTTTGACATGTTTGCGGTGAACACCAACACCAACATGAGCACTGCGTACGTCGGCACCTTCGCCAGGACCAAGGAGGAGGCCAAGCAGAAAACAGTCGAGCTGAAGGACGGCAAAGTTACAGATGTTTTCATCAAGAGAAAGGGAGCCAAATTCCTGCGGTTTGCCCCCGTTTCATCCCACCAAAAAGTCACCTTCTCCATTCATTCGTGCCTGGATGCTGTTCAGATCCAAGTGAGAAGAGATGGAAAACTTCTCTTGTCTCAAAGCGTGGAGGGCGTGCGGCAGTTCCAGCTTCGGGGGAAAGCGAAAGCGAAGTATCTCGTTAGGCTGAAAGGAAGCAAGAAAGGTGCTTCCATGCTGAAGATCCTGGCTACAACGAGGCCCAACAAGCAGTCTTTTCCTTCTCTCCCAGAAGACACGCGGATCAAAGCCTTCGACAAGCTCCGCACGTGCTCGTCGGTCACGGTGGCCTGGCTGGGCACGCAGGAGAGGAACAAGTTCTGCATCTACAAGAGGGAAGTGGATGACAACTACAACGAAGAGCAGAAGAAAAGGGAGCAGAACCAGTGCTTGGGTCCAGACACGAGGAAGAAATCGGACAAGGTTCTCTGTAAATACTTCCACAGCCAGAACATCCAGAAAGCAGTGACCACAGAGACAATCAGGGGCCTGCAGCCTGGCAAGTCCTACCTGCTGGATGTTTACGTGATAGGGCACGGGGGGCACTCTGTGAAATACCAGAGCAAATTGGTGAAAACAAGGAAGTTCTGTTAGTGCCCCTGTACATAGAAATACATGGAACTCCGGACTGAGCGTTATCCTACTTCCAAGTATACGGATCGACTACTTGCACAGCTGAGAAGTTGTGAGCTGTATTTGTACTGTGTAGAAAAGATATCAACTTGTATATTTATGTTTACGTAAGTAATTGTTTGGAGGAACTGAGGCTGGTGCTCTCTGGCAGCACCTGGCAATGGTATTATCATGTGTCCAGTGGCCCACATGTGATGCTCAGTAGATGTCCAAGGTAGCAGGAGACCTCGGAGGAACTGGCACACCTTTGCTTCCATATTGCATGAACTGCTTCTAAATTATTTTATACTTAATAAGGCTGAGATCCATCATCTGTCCACCTTGTTACTCACACACAGAACTCACAGACGTACACCCTTTCTCTCAGTGTAGGCGGTAGGGTTTCTGTAAATTATTTTATAGAGTCTTGTTTTAAATGTTTATGTTTCTATGATTGTAAACTATTAAAATCTCCCCCCCCCAATAAAATACAGATCTAAACTAAGTATTAACTGGGCTGCACATGAAGCAGTTTCATTGCTAATGTAAATTCTTACCTAGCTGATTTCCATGTTTAAATACTGTATGTATTTCATGTACAAAGTTGCCATAACGTTATATTCCTGTACATAAAATTAAAAATATTAGATTATATATTGTTTCTTTCCTTTCCTTTTCTATTGGTATTTCCATTGTGTAGATTTCTGTAAGATACTGTGTTTCTGGATCTCAGATTTTCTGAATTTTCTCGTTTGTTTTTCCATGCCACCTTCGTTGACTCAAGAGCTTGTAGGGAGCTGCTTAATGGAAAACACACTTCAGAGAAGGAACTAGCCCAGCCCCATTTCAAGAAGCTCAGAGCAGGATACACACTGCCCCAGTCCCAGAATTAAGGTACAGGTCAGGGCCTCAGGACAGGTAACAGACTTTTTCCCTTGATCCCATCATATGTGTCAGTCTGCAGCACCCAGGCAGTGCATGTCAGGGCTTTATTCAAAGGGGGTCTCTGTTTCTTCCTTAGGTGCCTGTCCATAAAACATCTCACTGCTGTGGCTTTAGCGCTTACATCCCCCTCAGGGCTCTGAAGATACGTGTGGAGAAGCAGAGGTATGAGGGAAAGGGACCAAAATCTGAGTCAAGGCTGAAAGCAAATCCCTCTTAGGCTGCTTGACAGGGAAAACGAGACCTCTCCTTCCCTGCAGAGGTGAGCTCCAGTTTTCCATGGCCCCGTAGTGGTGAGCTCTGGAGGTTTTCCCCTCTGCTGTCCCCAGCCCGTTTCGATTTGCAGACTGGTGGGTGGCAGCAGGGTTTCATGGCTGCACAGGCTCCTGTGCCATCCCACAGCCCCAGTTTGTTGTGATTCTGCCAAGAAACAGGGGCAGATACCAGAGGAAGGCTGATCAGAAGATGCCTGCTGTGTTTAATGTGATTATATAACAAACCTAATAATTGAAGTTCAGATTTCTCTGGAGATGATCTCCTCATTTGAAAACATCTCTCTGATTTGTTAAAGGAGCTGCTTCAGCAACACACTCTTGCTAGATTACTGTGCCAGGCTGTATGTGAGCAGTAGGTAGATAGAGCTGGGAATCCTCAAGAACAGGACTGTGGTACCAAGCTTAGAGCACCAGCTGCCGGGGAGACACCTTCCCTACACTTCACTGCCCCAAAAAACTACTGAATTCCTAAGCTTACAGTTTTTAAGCATTTCTCTATTTACAGCTGCCAGTTGTGTGGGGAACAGCACCCCACACAATTCCAGCTCTATTTGTTCTTTTAACCAGATTTCTCTGTTTGGATATTTATCCAGCTCACTTGGCTTTTCTGCCTGCTTTAGCCCCTTATGTTTGCAATACGTCACAAAATTAAAGAAGTCCCCCAGATGCCTGTATCTTCTATTTCTGAGCACTGTGTTTTCAAAGAAAAACGCCACAATAGTTGTCTTTATTCCCTCTGGAATTCTTCTTTTCCTGAACAACTAGCTCTATTTGTTCTTCTGGATGAAACTGAGACCATACTAGTATCAGATCTACTAATCAGCACGTTATTATTTGAGTCTTAGTGGGCCCAAGTGGATCTGAGAGAGACAGTTCTTTGAAGGATGAAGGTAAAATAAGGGCAATAATTTAGACAGTGCAAATGTAAGTCAGCCTTAAGTGAGAGGTGACTGAAGCAGGTGTTAAAGTAAAATAGGTCTCATCTGCTGGGAAAGCTCCAGACTGAGTGTTTGGGAAAGCACAGAGCCCACAGAAGAAATCATAGCATGGGCAACGTCAAAAAATATGTATTAAAAACTTCCTAGAGAATAATGCATGGATAACTGGCATAAAAAAAAATCAAAGAAGTTGGTATATTAAATACACCAAAAATTATACAACAGGGTTTTTAAGTACAAGCCTGGAGAGGTAATTAAAATAGAAACTTATTCATAAACCTTTGTGATAGCAGAGATGAGCCCTCAAATTCTGTGGCAATACACACATCTTTGGTCTGACTGACCCCCAGAGATGGTCTCAGGCGTGCACAGCTCAGCCAGTAATGTGAGTTCTCAGTTCTACATCTACTCATTCAAGTTACCATTTCCCTTCATTCCTCTTCCATTTGATAATGTTAAACTTAAACTGTCTCCTGGCATTCCAGTGATGTTAGAAGGCGATCAGAGGAATATGAATTTTTGTTTCTTGACTCTGAGACACTTTTTATTTATTTGCCTGTTACTTCTTGCTGCTGGTTTTCTGCCTTGAAGGTGCAGCAGCAGATGATGCAGTTTTGCCCAACTACCTTTTCCCTCTTACACTGAGTTTATGTGGCCATGTGTGTGCCAAATAAAACCACACCAAAAAAGGTGGCTTTTTCCATCTGCTTTTACCCCACTTGCACTGGTTGGAGCAGCTACACAAAGCACAAGGCAGTTCCCCAGGGAAATGTCAGCCTGCTCTCCAGAGCTGTGACTCCAGAACCTGGAGGATGCAGCTGGGCCTCATTACCAGCCCCACCACTGGGGCCAGGTGACCCTGCTTCCTTTAACAAGCCTTTTCACAGGAACTGTAAAAGATGCCTGTCCTGTCCTGTCCTGGGATGAGGTGAGATGGCACTGAGTTGTTAGAGGTAGGTGATTCAGCCTGTCTTTGCTTTTTGAAGTTTGCTTTTAAGTAAAAGGAGAATATTCAGACCTACAGAGGCTTTGGGTTTGTGTTTTCGCTCTGCCAGGGGGAGTTATTTCATTTTGTATTGTGATACTGGTATTTCAGCTGGTTGGTTGTGAGTGATTAGTAAATATGGCCCTGTTAAAAAAAAGTCCTTCTTCCAGCCTCATTTTGCCAGAAAAGTATAAAAAAAAGACTGTTTACCTGTATGAGGTCTCCTGAACCTGCTAACCTCATGCATAAGAAGTTTAACTTGAGCTATGATGTCTTACTTCAGAGAGCAGACAAAAGAATTTTCCATGTCTTTTTCTGTTCTCTGAACAAAGAGTGAATAAGTGCTTCATACCACAAATGCATATTATCAATTATGTTGATAATATAATGGCAAAGCTGTTGAAAGGCTGATCTTGGATGATAGTTCATGTAGTATAACACCTGCTAGAGGTAAGCAGGGCTTATTTGTTTCACTTGATTTATAAAATGTCTGTTTGTAGCAACAAGCAGCTAAAATTACTGTAAATTTCTGCTCCAATGGCTTAGCTTAAATAAATGTTGACAGGATTATTAAGTATTAATCTTATAACGCATGCCTTGCAGAGAGACCTGAATTATCATTTTAGTTGTGGTAAAGTTCTTTTTCTAAGTCTAGTAAGACTGGTAGTGAAGTCTGTCTGACTATGTGAACTCTGGTTGTAAGATGGGAGTAACACCACAAATGAGACACACTCCTTTAGCCTGCTTTGCTTCTAGAATGAGAGCTAAGAAGTTATCCTGCTTATTCGCAAAGTATGGGGTTTTTGGATGGGAGGGAAAAGACCAGAGAGTCTGGATTACAAAATGATCTGACTCTGGTGCTCAGTGGTTTAAGGTAATTCCTAATTCATACAGATTTTACCTGGAATTGCACGTTATTTCAGGTGAAACAGAGGGATAGAGAAGAAAAACTTAAGACTTGAATGTTTTGTGAAGTAAAAGATTTTAGTGTCCCCCTCACCCTGCCTCCTGATTTCTTTAATCATTAAGTGGAAAAGTGGGTTGTAAATACTGACTTCCCCCCTCCCTGCCTTCTCAAGCCACTGTTTTTCAAATGTTGCATTTTCCCGTTGAGCTGCAGCAGCTGTTTTGGGCTGTGTAATTTAATCCTGTATGTAGAGGAGAAGCTGAGCTTTTCACATCATTTCCATATTAAACCTTTTCCCCAGTAGCTCTGTGTTGGTGAGGAAAGCCTTTCATTTACTGTCTTTACATTGTGGATTTCAGAGTCACTTTAGAGTTGCAGTGAATCCATGAAAGGCCATGACAGAACTGATACGATTCAGGGATGGTTTAGTCTTCTAAACAAGTGTTTAGACTGGTTTATAAACTTGTGGTATTAATCCTGTCAGAGATGCAAGTTCTTACTTCATCTCATCTGTTCAGTGGTTCCAAAGCCTCCTTTGGAAGAATGCTTTTATCACTTCTCTAAAGTCCACAACACTGGTTATAATAATCATAATCCTCAGCTTGCCTAGAAAACCACTGCTGATACCAGGGTGAGGGGGACATCCTCCCTCCCCTCTTTCTTAAAGCCATTTCTTTTTAAAAGCTATTTATAAATGTAAGTTTAAGTGACCTGATAACACTGATAGGTTTCTTGAATGCAGATAGTTACTACTTCCCAGCACAGCTTGTCTGTTTATCTAAAAGGGACTTATCTATCTCTAAATAGGCACGAGTGAATAATGAATGTATAGCTGGCATCTGATCTTGCATCCATTGTGTATTTTGGAAAGCTGACCAAATTCCAAGTTGGTTTCTGCCTGCTGAAAAGCGTGTAGAGTTGAGGTACCCTTTGATGAACTGCTAGATAAATGTTTATAATTTGCTTTAAGAAGAGATCCTCTCCTCCTCTGGAGACTTTCCTTACTGATCCTGTGCACAGTGAGGAAAACTGAAAAAAGAGCAGGTGGAAATGCTGTTACTTGGATACTTGCTGTTTATAGACACAAAATAATATGACTGTTAAAAGGGATGTTACACCTCAGAGGCAGATAACTTATCATCAGGGCGGGATGATGATGGTGGGAGGGTGTCCCCTTCTGGGCAGTTCACCATGGTTGTTATTTTGCTCCTTGGAATAAGGGCCTACTCCTCTTCTGTGTCCCGGGGAGTGAATTAATTCTTTGAGGACACAAGGGTGAGGATCCCTTGCTGAGCATGGGCAGGGCTCACACATGGGCTGTGGGCACTCTTGAGACTTTTTCCTCCCACAGGCCCGTGCATATGCCAGCTGCAGTCTGGCCCCATTAGCATTACTGCGTTTATTCTCTTCAATTCCCCATCACACAACTGGAAAGCTGAATAAACACAAATACATTGACTCCAATTTGCTTGGTATGGCCTTATAATTAGAAGCTGGAGCCAGCTCTCCCCATTTGCCGTGCAACAGGGAGGCATTGTTCCTCCTCTTGGCTTTTGTTTTCCCAAGTGCTGTCTCTTCGGGGCCATTCTTTCACAGACCACAGACTT